AGTATTTCCTGAGAGTACAGAGAAGCTGGGTTCCAGAGGCAGCCTAGGTTGTACCTTGTGCTGGCAGCTGAACCTGGTAGTATAAGGGTCACCCAGGTTTTGAAGGCATGAAGGGGTCATGGAGAGCCGTTGAGGCTTGGCACTGTGAGAGGCCAGAAGAGGCCATTGGTGAAGGTGGAGCCTCAGTGACAGTTGAAGGCCCAGGATTGAAGGGGTCATGAAGAGATGTTGACAGTGCAGTCCAGTTGCCCCAGAAGACCCCAGAAGTTTTAGAGATGACAGTATGATTGGGATAACCACCAAGGACAGCAGCAGCGGAGTGGAGCCAAGCAGAGCCTAGAAGTTAAGCTATGTGTGCTGCAGAGGGCAGAGCATAGGAAGTGACCCAAGCCCCTGGAGTGACCCAGAAGATAGATCATTGAGTGGATTCCAGACATTGGACATTGGTGTTATTTTCACGGTTAGGTTTGGTTTGGTTTTGATTTGATTGTGACTGTGCCCTGGGTCTTCACTCTTGAAATGTGAAGATATATGATTTTGATTTTTACAGGAGCCCACAGCTAAAAGACTTTAAACTTTTAAAAGAGATTTTGGATTTTTAGAGGAATTAGATTTTTTGTTTTTGAGACAGGGTTTCTTTGTAGTTTTGAAACCTTCCTGAAACTCACTCTGTAGACCAGGCTGGCCTCAGGCTCACAGAGATCTGCCTACCTCTGCCTCCTGAGTGCTGGGATTAAAGATGTGCACCACTACCACCTGGCAAAATTGGATAGTTTAAAGAGACAGAAATTTTAATGTATTTGAATTTGTAAAAACTGTAGGACTTTAAAAGTTATTTATGATTTTAATGTGAGATCTTAACAAATAAGAAAGGAAGGGTTGTGGCTCAATAGTGATGTGTTTGTGTGTCAGGTTGACAAGGGATCAGTTGTGCTGGCTAGTCATGTCAACTTGACACAAGCTAGAGTTATCTATATGAGAGAACCTCAGCTGAGAAAATGCCTTCATAAGATCCAGTTGTAAGGCAGTTGTAATTAATTTTATTAATTAGTGATTGGTGGGGGAGGGCCCAGCCCATTGTGGGTGGCGCTTGTGTCAAGTTGACACACAAAACCAGCCAGTACAGAAAGAAGTAAACAAGTATAAGAAGTAGCATAGTGATAAACTGAAAAAAAATTCCACTGTGCTAAGTCAGATTTGTCACTAACTTTTTGAATGAAGAGATGGCTCAGTGGAAATAGGAGCACTTGGCTGTGAAAGGCAGAGCGTCTGAGTTCAAATTCCCAGCACCCACATGGCTTTGCAGCCTGCAAGCCCAGTACTGTGTGGTGAACACAGGGTCATCTCTGGAGTTCGCAAGCGGTCTAGCCTAGCTGAAATGTTGAAGCTTCAGGTTCAGCAAGAGACCCTGTCTGAAAACATAGCCTACAGAGGGCCAACAAGATGGCTCAGTGGGGAAGGGCACTAGCCACTAAGCCTGATGAGCTTAGTGCTATCCGCAGAACCCACATATCGGAAGGAAAGAGCCAGTTCCTTCATGTTGTCCTCTAGCTTTTACAGGCAAACTGTACCATGTATATATGCCCCACACCTGCATGCAGCAATTAATTAATTGTAGTAATAAGGGTGGCGGGGCTGCGTCCCCAGCACCCCGGCTGCCTGCTCGGCTAGCTTATGCCCCGAAATAATTACACGGACACTGTATTCTTTTAAACACTGCTTGGCCCTTTAGCTCTAGCACTTACAGGCTAATTCTCACATCCCGATCAACCCATCTCTAATAATCTGTGAGAACTGGTCTTACCGGGAAGATTCTAGCCTAGTCCATCCTGGGTTGGAGCTTCATCCCGGGAGCAGGGCATGGCGTCTCTCTGAGGTGTCTGCTCCCGAGAGGAGAGCTGTGGAGTCTGAGCTCACTTCCTCTTCCTCCCAGCCTTCTGTTCCGTTTACTCCACCCACCTATCTTCTAACCAATAAAATGGGCCAAGGCAGTTCCTTTATTAGCCAGTGACCTTCCTCCATCAATTAATTAGTTCGGGTGGAGAGACATAGAGGAAGACACCCTCTATGGCTTCTGCGTATGTGTATAGAGGCATGTGTACTTGCACACACACAAAAGTTCACACTTGAGAATTGAATAATCAAGTCACAAAAATAATTACAAAGAAGCAAAAACTTGTAAAATAGTTAAATGACCAACAACCCATTCCACAAAATATAATGTAGCTATTAAAAACCTTATTGTGGTGCTGGTCTAAAACAAAAAAAACAGGCCGAGTTGTGCACACTCACAATTCCAATGCAAGAAGGTAGAAGCAGGAGAATTCTTGGGACTTTCTGGCCAGGCAGCCTAGCCTAATTATTGAATTCCAGGTTCTGGTGAGAGAGATCTTGTCTCGAAAACCAAAGTAGTAGCTAGAGAGGTGTCTCAGATGTTAAGAGCATTTGTTGCACTAATGAGGACCAGGTTCGATTCCCAAAACCTATATGGTGGTTCATGACCATCCATAACTCCAGTTCCAGGGGATTTGATGACCCTCGTCTAACCTCATGGGCACCTCACACATATGTGGTGCATATATATATATATATATATATATATATATATATACACATACAAACAAAACACTCATACACATAAATCTAAATTTTTTAAATTTATTTTGTATGTATGAATGTTTTACCTTAATGCATATATGCACACTACATCTCTGCTACATTCCCTGGAACTGGGATTATAAATTGTTGGGAGCCAAGATATGGGTATGGATCCTCTATAATAACAAGTACTTTTAACTACTGAGTCATCTCTGCAGCCCCCCAAGAAGGGCACATTGAGTTAGGTATGGTATAATGCAGACATAATCCCAGCCTTCTGTCCCTCTGGAGACTGAGGCAGGAGGTTCTTTCTTTTTTCTTTTTTTTTTTTTTGGTTTTTCGAGACAGGGTTTCTCTGTGGTTTTGGAGCCTGTCCTGGAACTAGCTCTTGTAGACCAGACTGGTCTCGAACTCACAGAGATCCGCCTGCCTCTGCCTCCCAAGTGCTGGGATTAAAGGCGTGCGCCTCCACCGCCCGGCAGGAGGTTCTTTCTTAATAGGTAGGCTCAACTGTATATATAGGACTCTGACTCAAAAAAAAAGAGAAAATAAACATAGAACTAGAAAATACTCAGGAAGAGATATTAAATGAAAACACAAGTTTCAAAATTATGTTTATAATTACAGTGTAATTTATAATTATTATAGATTAATTACATAATTATTATAATTACAGTATAATTTTAAAAAGTAGATGTATAGGGGAAAGACAAGAAAGATGCAGCAAAACTTTGAAAATGGTTCTGTTTTCTGTTTGCAAAGTGGGCAGGATTTTAGGCTTCTGTTTAAGTTTGCCTGTCTTGTTTTTTTAATGATTTATTTATTTTATGTGTAAGGTTATTTTTGTCTGCATGTATGCACATGTGTGGACTTGGTGCTCATGGAGGTCAGAACAGTGTGTCAGATCCACTGGACCTGGAGTTACAGCTGTTAACCCCTATGTGGGTGCTGGGAATTGAACCTGGCTCTCCTGCAAGAGCAGTATAATGTTCTTAACCACTGAGCCATCTCGCCAGACCCCTGTTTGCCTGTATTAAGCATTTTTAGTAAATATTCAAATGATAATTCGTAAATGTAGGAAGGGATTTTCTGCAGAGAGATTTCTTTTGGGTTCTAAGTCTTGTACTGTGAGAAGTGTGTGTTCTATATGTATACAGACTCTCTCCCTAATAGATGATTTGCCTTATTGCTAGGCTCTCTTGGCTATCAGAGAATTTTACTGTTCAGCCTGGATAATTAGAAAGCTTTCCTTATGCATGCACTGATATTTATATGCAAAACATTTTTTAGAGTACATGACTGTAAAACAACTCATACTTCTTCATCTGTCTACGAGTCTACATTGCATTAAGTTGTGCATCTTGGCTTCTATTTTTCTGATAGGTAAATTGATAAGGGTAAGAGGAATGAAGGGCATGGTGCACCAACACTGACCAGGCATTTCGTTCTGTAATAGCTTCCATTACCTTTTCTTCTTACCTCTTGTGCATATTGAAAAGAGCCTCATTGATTTGCTGTAGCGAGAATGTCCTGTATGACTCAGCACAAGATCTTTACATCTTAGAACAGTTGAAAGATAGGATTTTTGACTAAGATTTTTATTTTTTTCGAGACATGGTCTCTCACTATAGTCCTGGCTATTCTGGAACTCGCTTTGTAGACCAGGCTGACCTTGAATTCAGAGATTCCCTCTCCCCCCCACTGCCTCCTGCGTTAAAGGTGTCCACTACTTCTGGCTAAGACTAAGAATTTTAAGAAGAGTTCCCAAATTGAGCCTCCAACCATAAAGTGAAGGATGGATCAAGCACTGCCACCTTCATTATCAACCTGCTTTCTTGGCACCCAGGACACCCTTATTCTGTCCCATGGTGAATCTCTCAGGAATCTAGATATGTAACTTTTTTTTTAGTTTTTTATTAAGAAAAAAAAAAGTTTCCACCTCCTCCCAGCCTCCCATTTCCCTCCCCCTCCTCCCGCCCTTCTCCCCCTTCTCCCATTCCTCTCCCCCTCCCTCTCCAGTCCAAAGAGCAGTCAGGGTTCCCTGCCCTGTGGAAAGTCCACCCCCCTCTGTCCATGTCTAGGAAGGTGAACATCCAAACTGGCTAGGCTCCCACAAAGCCAGAACATGTAACTTTTTAATGTCCTTCCCATTTTCTTTAAATTGATAGTAAGCCTAATTTATAGAAATTGCCTAGGTTGAAACAAAACAAACCTTTGCTTTTTTCCTTAATTATGATAGAAATAAAAATTGATCATTAATGGTCACAATACTTTTAGGTCAAGGAATATTAAGTTTGGAGGTTTCAGCTGTAAGACAGAGTGAAGGTCATGTCTCTTGGTTTACAAACAGGACTCTGCTATACCCACACTGATAATCATTGCTTTGTTATGTCTGTGAACAGGTTCCTGGTATAAATTTACCTGTCAATCAGCTGACTTACTTCTTCGCTGCAGTCCTCATTAGTGGTGTTTTACATGAAATTGGACACGGTATAGCAGCTATTAGGTAATAAGACTTAACTTTTTCCTTTCTACTATATGCAAAGAAGCTTTTCATTTAAGAAGATTTATTCCTCAAATCTGGTATGTTTGAGGTTTTTTTTCTTTTGGTAGATATCACTCAATGTATACTTAGCATTCATTACTTGGGGTAGTGTCTCTTTTATAGAAAAAAACTAATATACTGCTGATGTGTCTTTCCAATCATGTGATCATCTGTAGTTTAAGTCTTTCTGTCTTTTGGTTTATGCCAGCATGATTATAATCTTGATGCTTCAGGGCTTTTCGTCTAGTCTTTTTATTTAAAAATTATATTTATTTATTTATTTATTGTGTATGTGTGTGCATGCATGTACATGCTGTGGCATGCTAGTGGAAATCATAGAACAACCTGTGGGAGTTACTGTTCTTCTGCCATATGGATCCCCAAATTCAAACAGTTCACAGGATTGGCAGGAACTTCCTTTATCCACAGAACCATCTTGCTAACTGGTACTCTGGTCTTCACTGAATTCACCCTCTGCCACTACTCAGTGTTTTCTGGGGTGAGGGGGTAGTCAGAAGGAGAGGTCTCTTTAACCCAGTCTGGCCTCAAACCCAGAGTCTTCGTGCCTCAGTCTCCCAAGTATTATGTAGTGATAAGGTGAGCAGGCCTGCTTTTTGTCCCACCCGGCTCCCACATGGTTAGCTTTATACCTGAAATAACAACACACAAATTGTATTCTTTTAAACACTGCTTGGCCCGTTAGTTCTAGCCTCTTATTGGCTAATTCTCACATCTTGATTAACCCATTTCTAATAATCTGTGTAGCACCACGAGGTGGCGGCTTACCGGGAAAGATTCAGCATGTCTGACCATGGCGTCTGACCTCACTTCCCTTCTTCCCAGCATTCTGTTTTGTCTACTCCACCCACCTATGTTCTGACCTATCAGGCCAAGCAGTTTCTTTATTAACCAATGAAAGTAACACATACATCAGTATTAGGAAAGTAAGTATGTACATGGATCTACATTATTGGCTGAAACAGTTTCCTGTTTCCATTCCTGCCTCATGTTGCTAGAATAAAAATCTAGAAGTGCTAGGTTTAACAATATCTAAGCCTACCTAGAAACCCAGGTGGAAGACAGAAGATGAGACCTAGGGGCTGACTTTGCAAATCATGCTGTGTTGATGTTTTTGACTACCCAAATGTGCCTTTCTATGTACATCTAAGGAATTAAAATGGGAAGAAGGCAAGGGTCGTCACTACTTCCCTGATAGCTCATGGCAAGTCCTGGCATAATCAGAAGTATGCTGACAGACAACTTTTCTCTTTTGTGTATATGGACCAGGGAAAAGACAAATCACTATTCTAGAGAAGATGAATTATTTTCCAGTTGCTTATGAATAAATCTAGCTTCTGATGATAGACATTTGTCTTAACATTTTGAGCAGATGTGCTATTCTCAACTATCATCAGAGATAGTTGCTATTTAATTTTTGCAATGGATGGCAGTTAAATGGAAACTCACAACTGGTCAAAGTACAGAGAATAAGTGACTATGGAGTGCTCATGTGTAGTGGGACATCAGATATCAGATATCACACATCTATTCCCTTGAGCCTCAGGGAAATATTGTAGAGGAGGAGCCAGGAAGATTGTAAGACCCAGAGTTTGGGAAGGAGTATTACAAACTTCCTCCAGCAAGGTCACACCTTTTCCAACAAGGTCACACCCTGTATTGTTTCTAATTATTTCAAACTTCTACTCCCTGGTTACCAAGCACTCAAATATGTGAGCTTGTGGTGACCATTCTTACTAAACCACCACACCTCTCCATGTTCAGAGTTTTAGCCAGGTTTAGTAGTAGCAACCATGAGTTCTCTTCTGTGGAACAGACCTAAATTCAACCAGAAAAGTGGTTGGTTATCCACATAACAATCTCAGTAGACTGGTTGTTGTTATAGCTCATGTGGTTTACAGCTGGGTAAGACCATTGATGATTTTTCTGCCCTAGCAGTCTGCCACTATGGACTATGAATTATTTATAAATCTCATTACTAACAAAGAGTGAATTATGTAGTTGTCTAGTACATTACTGTTAAGGTAGTGCTTTCTTCATAGTACCTGTTTGGTTCTGTGAGACTATTAAATAGATATATGACATTTTAGAAATGAAATGGCCTAAAAACTATTTCTTTTAGGGACTATCTTACTATTAACTGTTTTTAAGTGCTCAACAGAATTATACTTCCATAAATCTTAAGGATTATTTATAATAGCTAAGACAAATGTGTTTGAATCATATATTTGAGTTATATATTTCCCCTTGTCCTTCTCTGAAAATAGTTTATAAATTCCTGTCATTGATTTCTAAAAGAATTTTTAGCCGTATCTTTATATCAAATTTCAATTATATATTCAACAATAGCAAAATCCTAAACATTTAGCATTTTAAGTATATTTCAGAGTTCTCTAGAGCCTAGACCAAAACTTTATTACACTATTTTAAAGTTATGATTATTTGTTTTTATTTTATATGTTTTATTTATTCAGGGAATTATTTTTTAAAAAATTTTACGATTATATCATTATTAACTTCACAAATACTATAATATCAGTAAATTCCTTTTATGAGATTTCTTACATGTTTTCTTAGGGAACAAGTTCGATTTAATGGCTTTGGAATTTTTCTCTTCATTATTTATCCTGGAGCATTTGTTGATCTGTTAACCAACCATTTGCAACTTATATCACCAGTCCAGCAGCTAAGGATATTTTGTGCAGGTAACAAATAGATTTCATTGTTTTTTAAATGTTTATGTGTTGTTTGGGTTTTGATTTTCTGTGGTTAGTGACTTTATTGAAAGTACTCTAGTGAAAAACAACATTTGGGTAATAAATTCAGCTCCTTATTACTACCTCAAAAGCAGTTTTATTTGTTTGTTTTGTTTGTCTTTTGAGATACAATTTCACTGTGCTGAACAGCCTTGGCTGTCCTGGAACTAGTTTTGTAGATCAGGATGGCTTTGAACTCACAGAGATCCATCTGCCTCTGCCTCCTGAGTGCTGGGAATAAAGGCATGCACCACCACCGCCTGGCCAAAACCAATTTTTTAAAAACCAACATAAATTAGTAAAAATTTAAATTAAAAGCAAAGGAGAAAATTTCATGTTTACTGGAGCAAAGGAATGGTCAAAACCTAAAACAACAACTATGAAATCTACAAAGAAATGTGCAAAAGTCAAGAGAGAACATGAAAAGTCAGTCACATGATAAATCGTAATTCAAGAATGAAGAAAAGATGGTATACAAGTATTGACGCAGAACTCTAGCACTGTCAGAGTTCAGCCAGCCAGAAATTCTGGGAAAAACAGATTCATCTCAGCTACAGGAACCCAAGGCAAATCTACCGCAATCCTACATCTCACTAAATGGAATAACTAAGGCTAAACAAGTATGGAAATAGAAATTTTGAACACACTGTGTTATAACTAACCAGTAAAATAAAGAATTGATGTGGGTGCTAACAACATTGCTCAGTGAGTAAAGATGCTTTCTGCCAAGCCAAGCCTAATGACCTCAGTTTGATTTCTGGGTCCTATTGGTAGGAACCAACATCCACAGGTTGTTTTCTGAATTCTGTGTTCATGCCATAACATGTGCTGCACAAAGTAAATAAAATATATGTTTTAAAAATGTCTTTAGGGGCTAGAGAGATGGCTTAGCAGTTAAGAGCACTTGCTACTCTTAAAGAGGACCTAGATTTGATTCTCAGCACCCACATGGTGCTTTACAGCTATCCTTAATTCCAGTTTAAGGGCTCAATGAACTGACCTCCATAGGTTACATAGGCAAAATATTCATACACTGAAAATAAATTACTCATAAAAATTAATTTTTTCTTTGAAAATTTGGAGGTAGACAAAGTAAAAGCAATAAGTCTGCATACTAATTCCCTCATTTCCTTAGTAGTGTGAATCAGATAATTGAGATAAAGTCAGAAATAGTGATTTGAGTGTAATAATATACAGTAAATGATCTGAAAAATAAATTTAAACATTTCAAGTGATCATAGGAAATGAAAGTAGATAATAGAAAAAAGTCCTTATATCATGATGAAATAAGCCAACTTTTAAAAAATGAAAATATATTATTTTTCTTTATTATTATTATTATTATAAATTAGTCCAAATAGAAATGAGATAAACTCTACTATTAAAATGTCAGGCTGAGATATAGTTTACTGGTAGGGTGCTCGCATAGCATCCATGAGGCCCTGGGTTTGATCCCCGTCACTACAAAAAAGCCCTTATTTAGATTTAAAAAGTATCTCAAGTTTGTGATGTTTAGAAAAATATGTGAATGTTACTCAAATATTGGAAAGTATATTCTATGCAAATAATAAAAAGTCACTTAGTAATAAGGAATATAATCTACTATGAGAACTAATCATCATGATTTGTATTTTATGAAATACCAAATCAGAGCACCAAACAAAATAGATAAAGTGGGACAAATATAAATATAATATATTCATCTCATGTATAAAAATAAGACCATGGAATCTCATAATTAGTTTTATAAAAATAGATAAGTTAGATTTTATGTTATGAACACAGGAGACAATTTCTTTTTAAATGCGTATTAAGTTGATAAACCAAAAAATCCATATATTCACAAGTCTCTAAAGAATAATAGTAGGAAAACAGAAATTTGTCTTAATCACACATTGGATCCATTTAATTAGAAAACATAATAACTTGATGATATTAGTTATGATTAATTATTCAAAATAATAATAATGAGATTTTACTAGAATACAGTATAAAGCATTACTAAAAGAAAAATTCAATGCCATACACAGTTCTTATAAAATTAGAAATGGAAATAAGCCTCAGTGGTTAAGAGCATTGCCTGCTCTTCCAAAGGTCCTGAGTTCAATTCCCGGCAACCACGTGGTGGCTCACAGCCATCTGTAATGAGATCTGGTGCCCTCTTCTGGCATGCAAGCATACATGGAAGGAATGTTGTATACATAATAAATAAATAAAATAAATATTTAAAAAAAAGAAATGGAAATAAGCCAGACAATCAGCTTAAGAAATATGAAGACAAGTATAAAATAGTTAAGAAATAGCAGGATAGGGCCTAGACAGATGACTCAGAAGTTAAGAGGACTTGCTGCTCTTGCAGAGGACTTAGCTAGCTTAGGACTTAGTTCCCAGCACCCACATGGTGGTTTACAACCATCTCTAACTCTAGGGCCTGATGTGGGAGTGTCATATATCAATCTGTTGATTTCATTGGTTAAGCAATAAAGAAACTGCTTGGCCCTCATAGGTTAAAACATAGGTGGGAGGAGTAAACAGAACAGAATGCTGGGAGGAAGAGGAAGTGAGCTCAGACTCGACAGCTCTGCTCTCTGGAGCAGAGACGCCATGCTCCCCTCTCCTGTGCTGACGCGGGGATATCTCTGCTCTCTGAGTCAGACGCGATGAAGCTCCGACCCAGGATGGACGTAGGCTAGAATCTCCCTTGTAAGCCACCTCGTGGGCTACAGCAGATTATTAGAAATGGGCTAGTCCAGGTGCGAGAATTAGCCTAGAAGAGGCTAGATAGAAATGGGCCAAGCAGTGTTTAAATGAATACAGTTTCCGTGTAATTATTTCAGGTAAAGCTAGCCTTGCGGGCAGCGGGGTGCCTCATCGCTCTTATTACAACAAGGGCCAGACAATCTGATGAGCTCTTTAAACTTCACAGACACCAGATATGCATGTGGTGCATGTACATACATAAAGGGAAAATAATCACACACATAAACTAAAGAAATAATGGGGTAACTAATGATATAATCAAAAATAAGAAATTACAGAAGAATCAGAGTGTTAAATCCAAGAGCTATTCTAGAAAAATAAATAAAACATTAAGCTACAGGGAGAAAGCTATTGACAGAACCTGTATTCAGATTGGTGAATAATATCTGATACACAGAATATTTTATCATTTTAGTGTTTTTTGTTCATCTCTGAAAAAGTTTTCAGAAAACTGAAGAATTACAAGAATTTGAAAATAGCTGAAGTTAACGAAACAGGTCAATAATTACAAGATAAGAAATTAGAAAAGTTGGTAAAGATTTTCCCTTAAAGTTTTATAGGTAGAATAATAAGATCCTGAATAAATTTTTCTAATAAAAGATTATAAAGTGAGATGATGTATGCCATAGTAGTCAAAAAATGTATCGTATTAACTACATTTTAAGCATAAAACAATTCCAGAATGTCATCATAATAGTCCTTTTCTTTTGATATTATAGCAGTTATAATACATAGTAAATGATGTTTATTTATACAGTAAAGATTAAAACACTAGTAATGTTTATATTGAGACAAATATTTAGATATACACAACATTAGTTAGTATGTATTTTTTAAAGTTAACTTTCCAAAGTATTATCATAATTCAAAAGTTAAAGTGGCATGCATAGCATAAAGTTAACTTTCCAAAGTATTATCATAATTCAAAAGTTAAAGTGGTATGCATAGCACTCAGCAAATATTTTCAAAATAGTTCAAACATGCTTTGTAGTTTTCTCTACAATTTTCATTCCATATATATGCAATTTTTAGAAATAGTGTCAAAAATGAAAAGAAAATTTAGCATAAAAATTTTCAGATTGTATACAGAAGGAAACTAAGTTTTTCAATTGTTTTGATTGTTGTAGTTGGATTTTTGTGGAGGGTTTGGGGGTTTTGTTTGTTCTTTGAGATATGGTCTTACTGTGTAGTACAGGCTGAATACCAGTTCTTGCCTCCAGCTTCAGAGAGTTGAGAGTGGAGGTATATGCCTTGCAGAAACTGGGTTTTTGTTTTGTTAAGCAAATACAGCACTGGTAGATGTGTGTGTGTGTGTGTGTGTGTGTGTGTGTGTGTGTGGTAGAGCACAAAATGTGTTAGGTTTCAAGAAGGCAAGTAAAGTCATACTTAGTAAAATGAGTAGTTGCATGTTTCACGTATTTATTAAATTTATTAAAGGACAAAGCCTGGTGGTTGTGGCGCACAGCTTTAATCCCAGCATTCGGGAGGCAGAGGCGGGCAGATCTCTGAGTTCGAGGTCAGCCTGGTCTACAAAGCAAGTTCCAGGACAGCCAGGACCACACAGAGAAACCCTGACTTGAAAAACTAACTAACTAAATACACACACATACACATATATATGTATGTATGTATGTATGAACACATACATAATTTTTTATGTATAAACATATATATAAAATGACAAGATAATCAACTATTCCTGATGACATGTATATTAGTAAGTTTTATGGTTAGATAAGGGGAAATAAATAATTATAAAGGGGCTGAGGCTCAGTGGTAGGGTGCTTGTATAACATACACACACAAAGTGTAAAATTAAAATAGAATAGACATTTTCTAGATCTGATACAAGCCTGGCTGAGAGAAGGTAAGAAAATCACCTGAAATAAAATAAGGAAACCAGTAAAGAACCTAGAGAGGAAATTTATTTTCAGTCAAATAATTAGATAGGACAGCAGGAAAGCCAATGCAGGTTCCATAGGGCACCAGAAAGTTGAACGAGCTTTAGGTATACGCAGAAGATGCTTGCTGGATGGTCTGTCTCAGTGCAATGACGCATCCAGTGGCGCGTCTTAGTGACGTGTGCAGTGACGTGTCCTACGCATGCGCATGCATCTGCCCGGAAACAGCACTTAACGCCTCAGACGACGACCAGCTCTTTTCCGAAGCGCACGCTTTTCGTCGAGCTCTCGGGTTTGTTTAATTTTGTGTTTTGTCATTGTTCTGTTGTTATTTTGTCATTGTTGTCGTTGTTTCTAAGCACGCAAGTGCGTGCTTTTCTTCCCTGATATTTTTTCTACTCCACAGCCATCTCCCATCTGCTTGCTACCCAGTCCTGCTACGTGGGTCTCAGCCATGGCCTCAGAGAATCTTCTCTGTATCACCACAGAAAATTCAGAGATTCCCGCTGATTTTGTAGACCTGGAGCCACTTAATGTCGAAGCGGTTTCTGGAAGAACCAGCTCATTCCCAACCATCGAAGTGTATGAAGACGCAGGTGTCGATTGGGCGCATGGTGGCCACTACCACTCTCCTTTTATTGCTCTGCAGCCTCTTGAGGGCAGCACCCTGAGTAATGGGGAGCACGATCAGGATATGATCATCATCGAGACACGAGAGGAGGTGGTGGACTTCCAGGACTCAGACAACCTGCTATTCAGTGCTGAATTCGAAAGCCAAATGGTTGTTCCAGGTGTTGATAAAGATGACTGTCTCCAGCCGACCAGTGCCTCCTTGTCAGGCTTCGCGGCGGCAGAGAATGGTCAAGGTGAGCTCACCTGCTATGAAGGGAATCTCTGTAATTTGACGACCATTATCGAGGCTGGCGTAGAAGGTGTGAGCCCTGACCTTGGCGACAGACAATGGCAGCAGAAGCAGGCGGAAATTGAAGCTCTTGAGGGAGCCTCTACTGCGTGGGAGGCTAATGGACAAAAAAATCCCGTGCCGAAAAGGCAGGCTGACGACGACTCACCTCCTGATTACTCTGAGTATATGACGGGAAAAAAATTTCCTCCTGAAGGAATACCTGGCATTGACCTGTCCGATCCGAAACAGCTGGCAGAATTTACAAGCATGAAACCCAAAAAGCCCAAAGGAGACTATCCAAGACCTATAGTTTGCTCTCATATAGGCTGCGGGAAGATGTTCAAGGATAACTCCGCTATGAAAAAGCACTTAAACATCCATGGGCCTCGAGTGCATGTCTGTACAGAATGTGGCAAAGCTTTTGTTGAGAGTTCGAAGCTGAAACGTCATCATCTGGTTCACACTGGAGAGAAGCCCTACCAGTGTACCTTTGAAGGCTGTGGAAAACGCTTTTCCCTGGATTTCAATCTGCGCACTCATGTCCGAATTCATACAGGAGACAAGCCGTTTGTGTGCCCATTTGATGGCTGCAGCAGGAAGTTTGCTCAGTCGACCAACTTGAAATCGCATCTCTTAACACATGTTAAGAACAAGTAAAAAGAAGTGAGAAGATCCTTCTGAAGCCTGGGGAGTATTTTACAGTGATGTGCCTGGGAATAAGATGCCTCTCATTTCAGTAGTTTCTAGGAAAGTTATTGCAAATGAATTCTACAGATCTGAGGTTTATCTTTTGATACAATAAAAGTTAAAAGTTTTATGTTGATTAGATGCCCTATTTGTGCTGCAGTGAAGTTTTGTTAAGTTTGGTTTCAACAGGCTAGACTAACCTCACATTGATGCCATGTGTTTTGTACTAATATACTTTTTGAAGCTTGGTTTCAACAAGAGACTAATTCACGAACCTCATATTGTTGCTAAAGATGACCTGTGTTTTTTTGCTGGAGTTTTTGGTTTCAATAGGACACTAAATAATGAACTTCATATTGTTAAAATATCCTATCTTCTGCAGTAGTATTTTTATGAAACTGGTTTCAGCAAGATACTAATTCACAAACCAGATATGCTAAAGTGACCGGTTTTAGTCCACAGTGGTGTTTTTATGAAACTCGCTTTCAACAGGAGACTAACTCATGAACCACTTTGTTTCTAAAGATGGCCTGTGTTATTTTGCTTTGAAGTGTTTAGAGAAGCTTGATTTCAACATAGAATAAATCACAAACCTCATTGTTGCTAAGATGCTCTGTGTTTTCTGCGAGGTGATTTTTTTCTTTTGCATTTTGGTTTCAACAGGACGCTATATCATAAACCTCATATTGCTAAGGTATCCTGTCTTCCTCTGATGTGTTTTTATAAAGTTTGAACAAGAGACGGTTTCATATGCTAAAATGACTGCTTTATTCTGTGGTGGTGTTTTTATGAAACTTGCTAATTCATGATCCTCATATTGCTAAGGTGTCCTGAATTCTACAGCAGTGTTATTTGTAAAGTTGGGTTTGACAGGATAATAATTCATGAACCTCACAACATATGCCCTGTTTTGTTCTGTAGTGGTGTTTTTGTGAAGTTTGGTTTCAACAGGCAACTAATTCACAAGCCTCATATTCTCGATAAGTGGCCTGTCTTATTTTGAAGTCGTGCTTTTGTGAAGTTTGGTTTTGGCAGGAGAATCACACATGAAATTCCTGTCAAATTATACTGTGTTAAAAATGGGACTTTTGCATTCTTATGAATTTGAAGTTTACTTACTAATATTTTTTAATTATGTGTTCTAAGTGCTCATGTTTACTTTTAGGAATATGCTTAGTAATTGTATATATGTTTTCTGTGGAGTTGATGTTTGTAAAATATAGTCTTTAAAGCATGGGCAGTTTTGTACATACATATTCTGTTAAATGTTATAGGTTTGTTTGCTGTCTTAATTTTGCCAGTATTCCTTGATGTGAAGACATTTTTTGTAAATTTCTTTTAGCTGTATTATACAGTGTAGAATATTAGATGATTTAATCATATTAGCCAATTTAAGCACCTTTTAATCACTTTATGCCTTCCCCTCATACTGCCTAAGGTGCTGTTGTTGAGTATAATTTCTTTGATCAGTTAAGAATAGTGTTTGATTTAATAATATTTTGTCTTCAAATTGATTTCATGTTTGGTGTGTACTTTTGTGTGATAGAAAAAGCAAAAATAAAGTAACTGTTTGGAGCATTAAAAACATCTTGCTTGTGTGAATACGTTAGCTAGAAAATAAGGAAAGAGGAAAGTGTTGCTGGTGTCAGGTCAGTAACAATCAGTAATAGTAATTCTAACAGAACATCTGGTAGTGCACAGAACAGTGACAAAAATTATTTAGCCAAACTGTGTTTTGTGTCACTATTAAAAAACTGTGCTCTTGCGAAAGCAAAAGTGGTAAGAAGTATTTCGGAAGTATATTAATAAACAAAGCATTAACGGCCAAGAGTTTGTTTAGATGAGTGACACGTGTCTGCTCCACACACATACATCCGTGTTCGCCTAGCCATCGTTGGCGAATTCAGAATTTAGAGGGTAATAGTACCAACTGCAAGCTTGAAAGACAATTGAGAAGTACCCATAAAGTCGAAACCAGTGCTGTCATGTGACCGCACATTTGTTCACTTGTCCATTCCTGTTTCATTTACTAGCGACAGGGCAGTATTATGAATTAGTTTGTTCAGAGAAAATGCTAGTGTGTGAAATAAAGAGGAATAAAGAGGGGATTTCCTTGGTTTTGATTGTTCCGGTTTTTTTTTGTTTGTTTGTTTTTTTTTTTTTAGTTTTTTGAGACAGGGTTTCTCTGTAGCTTTGGAGCCTGTCCTGGCTCTAGCTCTTGTAGACCAAGCTGGCCTCGAACTCACAGAGATCCTCCTGCCTCTGCTTCCTGAGTGCTGGGATTAAAGGCGTGCACCACCACTGCCCGGCTCTGTTTGTTTTTTAGACAAGATCTTGCTCTGTAGTCCAGGCTGCCTTGAATTTTCACAATGTAGTCCTCGCTGGCCTGTAACTTACAGCAGTTCTGCCTTAGTTTCCCAAAGGCTGAGATTATAGGCATAACCCTCCAGGTTTAGATTGATTTATCTTTATTTTTTAATATTCTGTTTGTTTGATGAGGTTAGGAAAGAGGTGGGTGTGGCCAGGTTCTTGCTGTGACCTACATTTGAAGATCAGAAGACAACTTAAAGGAATCTGCTCTGTGGGACCTGGGAATGGAACTCAGGTCATCAGGCGTGGCAGCAAGAACCCTTACCAATCTAGTAATAGCATGGCCCCTTTTTATTTGCTTTTGTTTTTGATGAAGCTTTGAAAGTATTATAAAAAAGCATGAGTATATTATTAAAAGTGGGAAAGACATGATAACAGAGCTGACTGAACATATTGGGGTTTCTATTTGTTTGGGGTGTTGTTGTTGCTATAGTTTATTGGTCCAGGCTTTGTTACCCTATGTAGCCCAGGTTGGTCTCACTCATGAGCTGCCCCCACCCCCCCCCCACTCCGTGAACTGTTACATATTATTCTGTTTGTACAAAAAATAAGAATTCGTCGCATTAAAAATTAATTTACACTTAAAATAGGATGAGGTGGAATTCCCCCCTTTTTATATGTTTCTAGAGCTACTAAAAAACTGTATTTACGAAATAGTTGATAAAAATATTCCTCAGGAAAGCCGGACTGAGTGGTGGTGGGACACACCTGTTAATCCCAGCACTAGGGAAGCACAGGCAGGCTAATCTCTTGAGTTCGATGCCAGCCTGGTCTACACAGTGAGTTCCGGGACAGCCAGGGTTGTTACACAGAGAAACCCTGTCTCGGAAAAAAAATTCCTCTGGATTGTATGAGTGAGATAGCCATGAAGCATGCATGCTTAGTCGGACTTGATTATTTCAGAGTCTGGACTCTTGTTTTGGTCTCGGTTGTTTTTCTGCAGGTAGATCTTTAGTTTCGTGGTTTAATTTGTCCTTTTCTCTCCTCTTTTGTTTGAATTTTTTTTTTTTTGTCTAATAAAGCATTACGGTCCCCCTCCCCAACCCCTATCCTTTGAGGCCTATTTTAGCTCTTAACTGAAGCCCTGTGGAACAATACTTGGGTACTTTGTCTCAGCTGCCGGGCCACCTTCCTAGGCCCCGCCCCCTAAAGCCCGCCTTCCTAGGCCCCGCCCCCTAAAGCCCGCCTTCTTAGGCCCCGTCCCCTAAAGCCAGCCTTCCGAGAGCCCGCCTTCCTGGCCCCGCCCCCTAAAGCCCGCCTTCCTAGGCCCCGCCCCCTAAAGCCTGCCTTCATAGGCCCAGCTCTTCACAGCTCTTGCACATGCATCCTTGGATATACAAACAGTAAAAAAACATGCTGTTTATCACGATGCTGTTAAAACATCGTGATCTTTAATAGGTAGGTTTATATGGTGAAATGGCTGAGCCCTTAAAATCACATTCGCTTCTAGATAACCTGAGTTCAGTTCCCAGCAGCTTGCAACCGCTTATAGCTTCAGCTTCAGGGGATCTTATATATCTGGCTTCCACAAGTTCACACACATACAATAATTTAAAGACGTGGGGGGTTGAGACAGGGATTCTCATTGTAACAGTCCTGGCTGTCCTGGAATTGTCTGTAAACCAGGCTGGCCTTGAACTCACAGAGATCTAGATCTGCCTGCCTCTGCCTTCCAAGTGCTGGGATTAAAGGTGTGCGCCACCACCGCCCCACTAATTAAAATATTTTCAATGATGAGTTTATAATATTTTCTTTTGTACCAAATCTAAGACATAAAATCAATGATACTGCTATAATTTGGTATTTTTCCATATTTGCTAACCATATTTAATAAATAATTTTATACTGAGGTGTTGAGACAATTTGGCATTTGCTGCCAAGTGTCATGACGTGAGTTCAGTCACCAGGCCTCACATGTTAGAAGGCAAAACCGTCAACAAATTGTACTTTGACTCCCATGTGAAGGTATAGTGTAGCACACATGAGCAAGCACATGCACTAAAATAATATAATTTAAATTTTTTAAAAAATATTTATTTATTTATTATGTATACAATATTCTGTCTGTGTGTATGCCTGCAGGCCAGAAGAGGGCACCAGACCTCATTACAGATGGTTGTGAGCCACCATGTGGTTGCTGGGAATTGAACTCAGGACCTTTGGAAGAGCAGGCAATGCTCTTAACCTCTGAGCCATCTCTCCAGCCCCTAATTTAAAATTTTTAAATTGATACGTTTTAAAAAAAAATCTTTAAAATTTGTGTGTGTGTGTGAGCGTGCGGGCACTTGTATGTGTGTATGGTATATGCAATGTATATACAGGTACACTGACCTAAGCATGCATTTGTGGAGGCCAAGAATGATGTCCACACCTTCCCCCACCCCCCAAAATTTGGGGAGACAGTATTTCTCACAGAACCTAGAGCTCATGGCCAGTGAGCCCCCAGGATCTGCTGTCTTCACTCCAGCTGCTGAAATTACAGATAGGTACCTCTGTGCTCCGCCCTTATGCTGATTCTAGGGGTCTCGGTTCAGATTCCTATGTTTGCACAGCATGTGTTTTACCTACTGAACCATTTCCCTAGTCCTAAGAATTTTGCTTTCTAATTTCACCCTGACTTTCATTTGTATATGTTTGGGGTTATCAAAGAACATGGACATGTTTAAATTAAGGGTGTGTATATTTATTCTATAAAGACGGCATAGTTAGAAGGTTTTTGTTGTATTTTTATTAAACCATAATCTCATACAGCCTTCAGAATTATAGCATGTACACTTCAGATTTTAGTATCTGAAATGAAGGCAGACTTAGTAAGCATCTATCTGCTTAACAGTTAATAGAACCCTCTGCCTCGCAACCCTGTTCTGTTTATAATCTTATTAGAATGCCATGTGTTACAAAGTCCAGCAAACTGTTATTCTTGCTACTGTTGAACTTATTACTTTTATTCTCTCTCTTTTCAGGTATATGGCATAATTTTGTCCTTGCTCTCCTTGGTATTTTAGCTCTTCTTCTACTCCCAGTAATTCTCTTACCATTTTACTACACTGGAGTTGGGGTACTTATCACTGAAGTTGCAGAGGTAAATAATGGATTGCCTAGGGTGTCCTCTCACCAGATGCTCTGTTGTAATTCTTAAAATATTGTCAAATGCTAACATGGTGTTGGGAAATAAATTGGATTTTTTTTTAATGTCATGAAAATTGTTTTTCGTTCTGAGCTAAAGAGGTAATATCAAGATTTTGTATGTGGTTTATTGATAAAAATGCTTTATCTTTATTATTTTTATATTTCTGCTTTCCAATACTACTAAGAAGAATAATTAAACCTAGGTTACCCAGGCAAAACATTTTGTAGGAGTATTTTAAATTGTTTTTACTGAGCTATATATTTTGCTCCTCTCCCTTCCTTTTCTTCCCTCCCCTTCTCATTTTGTAGGAGTTTTAAGTTAACTGCTAATTCTGTGTTTTAGTAGCTACTATGATGCTGTCAAGACTTTATCTTTTCAAGAGGAAAATTGCCTTTGTCTGTATATTTGGGGATGTGATTCTATAAAGACTTATCGTGTGGTTTTGTTCACTAAGGATGTAAGAGTTTCTCTTGAATTTATAAAAATTTTATTTATGTTTATATATGCTACACATACGTGAGTGCCAGTAAAGGCCTTTTAGAAGATGTTGTTTGGTCTCCTGCGTCTGGAGTTAGAGGTGGCTGTAAGCTACCTGATGTAGATGCTGGGAACTGAACTCAGGTCCTCTGAAAGAGCAACAGTACCTACAAAGTCTAGAAGAGTGTCTTGGATTCCCTGGAGCTGGAGTTAGAGCTCCTTGAGAGCTACCTTACATGGGTACTGGGAACCGAACTCAGATCCTTTGGAAGAACAGCTTAACTGCTGAGCCATCTCTCTTGAATTTTAATTAGCTGGTATTTTGTATATGTTTATAATCTGTGTTCAAGTGAGTATGTGCCTGTGTGTGTGTTGATGCATATGGAGGCCAAAGGTTGACATCAGGTGTTTTCCTTAATGCTCTCCCCCTAATATGTATTTATTTATTGAGACAGGATCTCACTATATAGCCCTAGATGTCCTAAAACTTACTGTGTAGAGTGGGCTGGCCTTGAATTCATAGAGATCCTCCTGCCTCTGCCTCCTCAGAGTTGGGATTAAGGCTATACACCACCACATCGTTACCCCCTACACTTATCTTTTAAATTTTATTATTTTATATGTCTGGGAGTTTTGCCTACACAATACACACACATATGATTGTGTATATGTATACATACACACACATATACACACACACACGCCTAGGTCCCATGGAAGGCAGAAAAGAGTTTTGGATGCCCTGGAACTAGAATTACAAGTAATTGTGAGCCACTTTGTGGGTGCTGGGAGTCAAACCCTGGGTTTCCTGGAAGAATAGCCAGTGCTTCCACCACTAAGCCATCTCTCTAGCTCTCCTTCTTAATTTTTGAGACAGGGTTTCTCACTGAGCCTGGAGCTTACCCATTTAACTATGCTAGCTGGCCGGCAAGCCAGACTTAAGCCACTATATCTTTGTGTGTGTGGGGGGGGGTTGCTGGGGCTCCAGACTCAGGTCTTCACGTTTGCACAGCAAGCACTTACCAACAGCTGCCTCCCCAGCTTCTGTTCTGTTCATTATAGGTTTTGTTGTTGTTTATCCCCAGAAGGTGTGCACAGATTTATTTTTCTTTTTTAAAATTTCTTGAATTTGAGACAGAGTCTGACTGTGTAGCCCTGGCAGCCTCAGACTCTGTTTCCCCAGTGTACCGCCACACCCAGCTTATTTATTTGTTTTTAGAATTACATAATTTGTTTATTAAGTACACATTTATTCTGTTTCGCCTCTTTTTAATTTAAAAATAGTATTCTCTGACAAGTTCATATAATGTATTTGGGTCATATTCACTGCTCCCCTTACCTCTTCTCACATCTACCCCCACCTCTCTGTCATCCCCCACAACTTCATGTCTCCTTCCCCCCACTTTAATTTGCTAACCCATGGGCTTCAGTTTGTACTGTCCTTCTCTAGCCTTCTGGATGTGGGGCCATACATTGGAGAGTGATTCGTTGTGTCTTGGCTTTTTTTATTTTTTTTACATTAAAAAGTGTGTTTTTTTAACATTTAAATTTCATTTTATGTGCATGGGTAGGTGCTTTGTCAGTGTGTCTGTGTTCTGCTTGGATACCCACTACCCATGGAGGCCAGAAGAGTGCATTGGATCCCCTGGAACCTGGGTTTAATGACTGTCATGAGCCACTCTGTGGGTGCTGGCAATGGAAACTGCATCCTCTGGAAGAGCAGCCAGTACTCTTAACCACTGAGCCATCTCTCCAGCTGCTCACTCTTTTTGATTTTCACCTTTTTGTGCTGCTGGTAATCAAACTTAGGTCCTGGTACACACTAAGCCTATATTGTTTACCTTACTTCTTTGTTATTTTTTTTTAATTTTTCAAGACACAGTTTCTCTGTGTATCTCTGGCTATCCTGGAACTCACTCTGTAGACCACCAGGCTGGCCTCAAACTCACAAAGATCTGTTTGCCTCTGCCTCCCTCAGTGCTGGGATTAAAGTATTTTAATCTTAATCATCAATAAATAGGGATTTTAAGTTGTGAAAACTTTATAATATTGGTGAACTTGTGAATGCAATTAAAATTGTTTGACTATAAATTTTGGATTTAGAGATGGATTGTTTTATGCCATTATTCAAAATGATTATAATTTGAGGAAAGCTGTGAGCTGAATGGAAAGGAATGGGAGAGTGGAGAGGGTTGTTAGAGGGAGTTGGGGGAGCAGTGAATAGGCTCAAAATACATTCTATGAAATTCTCAAAGAACTAATAAAAATGTTAAAAAGTATTCTATTTTTAATTAGTGCAGTGTCTATTACCGTGGCTAGTTTTGATTGATTATAGCTTGCTATTATACATTGTCTGATTTGATTTTCCTTCTTTCCAAGGATTCACCAGCCATTGGACCCAGAGGCCTTTTTGTGGGAGACCTTGTCACTCATCTTCAGGATTGCCCTGTTACTAACGTACAAGATTGGAATGAATGTTTAGATAGCATTGCATATGAGCCCCAAATTGGTTACTGTATAAGTGCATCAACATTACAACAATTAAGCTTCCCAGTTAGAGGTGTGTGCATTCTTTCAATATAACATAATGTTTCAAGTACCAGTCCCTTCCGTTACTAACCCTGAGACCATATCTATTGATTTATTTTTTTCCAATTGTTTTAAAGCAAGCTATTAAAATAAATAGGCTCAAGCTAATAGATATTCTTCTTGGTATATTGGGTATTTGTTTCCTGTATTATATACTATCGAACCTATAATTTCTTTTATAGTATTATATTTGACTTCTAGAACTCAAAACACTATTGTTTGGGCTGGAACAAGTGATAGATTTGTTTTTGTTTTTTTGTTTTTGTTTTTGTTTTTTTGAGACAGGGTTTCTCTGTAGCCTGTTCTGGAACTAGCTCTTGTAGAACAGGCTGGCCTCCAACTCACAGAGATCCACCTGCCTCTGCTGGAATTAATGGTAGCTATTTATTATGTATACAGTGTTCTGCCTGCATGTATGACTGCAGGCCTAAAGAGGGCATAATATCTCATTACAGATGGTTGTGAGCCACCATGTGGTTGCTGGGAATTGAACTCAGGACCTGTGGAAGAGCAGCCAGTGCTCTTAACCTCTGTGCCATCTCTCTAGCCCCAATACAAGATTTGTATAATGTGTGCAATGACCTGAGTTCTATCTCTAGTACCACAGGAAAAAAGTAATTGTAAAAATGTGTAAAATCAGCTGGATGTGGTGGTGAGTGCCAGCACTCAGGAGGCAGAGGCAGGTGGATCTCAAAGAAAAGAATCCCTTTTTTTTTCTTACTAAAATATAGCTAAACAAAAGCAGTTATAGAAGTCATGTGTGGGTACTAACATGTCCAAACCTATCTGGGGTAGTGTTTTTCAGTGTGTTTTGTATAGCAGAAGTCCAGGGAAGTTGTCTTGACTTCCAAAAAGAGCTGGGAAGTAGGTTTTGTTGGCCTGTGCAACAGGTGGGAAGGCAGAAGCAAGTTTCTTCTGGGAACCTACTAAACTTAGTTAACTCAGAAAAGGTCACCTCCCAAATTCTTTCCAGATTTAATTTTTCATATATTCATGAGCCTTTTATATTTTTTTCCGAGTGATTATATTTTTATTGTTCTATACTGAGGAGAAATAATACAATCACTACTGTTTCTGATTTCAGGCTCCTTATTATGACCTTTAACAGCAAAGTGTAGTTAATCTACAAATTCTTTCAAGCTGTACAAGATATTATTATTTTGTTTTTGTTTTTTATTATTATTATTTTAGTAGTAAGATCTAATTATTTTGTAGTAAGATCTAATGGTTCTCTGAATTTCCTCTGTGTCTGTGGTTATGTCCCCCTTTTCATTTCTGATCTTATTTATTTGCGTGTTCTCTCTCTGTTGTTTAATTAGTTTGGATAGGGGTTTGTCAATCCTGTTGATTTTCTCCAAGAAGCAACTTTTTGTTTCATTGATTCTTTGGATTGTTTTCTGTTTTCTATTTTGTTGATTGCCGCCCTCAGTTTGATTATTTCCAGTCTTCTACTCCTCCTGGGCGAGTCTGCTTCTTTTTTTCTAAATCTTTCAGGTATGCTGTTAAGTCCCCGATGTATGCTTTCTCCGTTTTCTTTAAGTGGGCACTTAGTGCTATGAACTTTCCTCTTAGCACTACTTTCATCGTGTCCCATAGGTTTGAGTATGTTGTCCCTTTATTTTCATTAAATTCAAGGAAGACTTTAATTTCTTTCTTAATTTCTTCCTTGACCCAGGTGTGGTTCAGTAGTTGACTGTTCATTCTCCATGAGTTTGTCGGCTTTCTGGGGGTAGCATTGTTGTTGCCTTCTAACTTTAATCTGTGGTGATCTGATAAGACACAGGTGGACACTGAGATTTTTTTGTATCTGTGGAGGGTTCCTTTGTTTCCGAGTATGCGGTCAATTTTCGAGAAGGTTCCATGAGCTGCAGAGAAGAAGGTATATTCTTTCCTATTTGGTTAGAGTGTTCTATAGATGTCTGTTACGTCCATTTGCTTCATTACCTCCAATAATTCTCTTAATTCTCTATTAGGTTTCTGTCTGATTGACCTGTCCATTGGAAAGAGAGGTGTATTGAAATCTCCTACTACTAGTGTGTGTGGTTTGATGTCTGCCTTGAGTTCTAGTAATATTTCTTTTACATAAGTGGGTGCTTTTATATTAGGGGCATAGATATTCAGGATTGAGACTTCATCCTGATGAATTGTTCCTGTTATGAGTATAAAGTGTCCATCTCGATATCTTCTGATTGATTTTAGTTTGAAGTCAGTTTTGTTAGAAATTAGTATGGCCACACCTGCTTTTTTCTTAGGACCATTTGCTTGAAACACCTTTTCCCAACCCTTTACTCTGAGTAGATGCCTGTCTTTGTGGTTGAGATGTGTTTCTTGCAAACAGCAGAATGTTGGATCCTGTTTTCATATCCAATCTCTTAACCTGTGCCTTTTTATAGGTGAATTGAGACCATTAATATTAAGTGATATTAATTACCAGTGGTTGTTTACTCCAGTTATTCTTATTGTTTTGGTAGTAGAGTTTGTGTGTCTCCCTTCTTTGAGTTGTGCTGGTGAAGGGTCGCTAGATGCCTGAGTTATTGTAGGCAGTGTTGGCAATGTTGGATTCCTTGGGTTGTGATTTTCCTTCTATTACTTTCTGTAGGGCTGGATTTGTGGCTATGTATTGTTTAAATTTGTTCTTATCCTGGAATGTCTTGTTTTCTCCATTGATAGTGAACAATAGGTTGGCTGGGCATAGTAGTTTGGGTTTGCATCCATGGTCTCTTAGTTTCTGCTGTACCTCTATCTAGGACCTTCTGGCTTTCATTGTTTCCATAGAGAAATCAGGTGTAAGTCTGATCGGTTTACCTTTATAAGTTACTTGGCCTTTTTTCCTTTGCAGCTCTTAATATTCTTTCTTTAACCTGTATATTTGTGTTTTGATTATTATATGGTGAGGGGATGTTTTTCTTTGATCCAGTCTGTTTGGTGTTCTGTATGCTTCTTGAATATTCAAAGGAATATTTTTCTGTATGTTGGGAAAGTTTTCTTCCATAATTTTGTTCAAAATATTTTCTGGGCCTTTGAGCTGTGACTCTTCTCCTCCTTCTATTCCTATTATTCTTAGGTTTGGTCTTTTTATTGTGTCCCATATTTCCTGAATGTTTTGTGATGAGAATTTGTTGACTTTGCTGTTTTCTTTGATCAGTGCGTTTATTTTCTCTATGGTGTCCTCAGAATCTGAGATTCTTTCTTCTATTTCTTTTATTCTATTGATTATGCTTGTTTCTGTAGTCTCTGCTCGTTGACCTAGATTTTCCATATCCAGCTGGTCCTCAGTTTATGTTTTCTTCCTTTCTTCGATTTCAGTTTTCAATTCTTGAACTGTTTCCATTACCTGTTTGATCGTTCTTTCTTGGTTTCCCAGGGTATCATGTATGTATTTACTCAATTCTTCAAACTTTTTGTTATACTTCTCATCCATTTCTATAAGGGCGTTTTTTACATGTTGTTTAAGGGACTCTATTGCTTTCATAAAGTCAATTTTTACCACTTCTTCTATGTTAGGGTGTTCAAGTCCTTCTGTTGTAAGATCATTGGGTTCTGGTGTTTTCATGTTGTTTTTCAGATTATTGGGTGAATTCTTGCCTTGTCGTCTGCCCATCTCCTCCTATCGATGCTGTCTAATCGGTCTTTTAAAACCGGATCAGGTTTCTCTGCTGGCCAGGGGCTCCTCTTTCAAAATGCCCTCGCTCTGTTTCCTGGCTCCTGCCGGTGGCCAAGATCCTTCTCACCCCTCAGAAGGGTCTTCAGGAACAGGACCAGGCTCCCCGTTTGCCAGGGACCTCGCCAACCAAAGCCCTACCTCTTTGATTTAATTGTAGTGGGGCGATCTGCTCTCGGTGTTGCGCGCCGGTTCCTGCCTCCTGCGTCTGCGCCGTGCTGGTCCCCGCCGGTCCCAGCCGCCTGCGGCCTACATTGTCTGCCCTTAGTATTAAAATTTTTCTTTATTTCTAGATTTATTGTGTGCATGTTTGGGGGGGGGTTACAATTGTATGGAAGTCAGAGAACAACTTTATGAAGTTGTTTCTTCCCTTCCACCTTTCTGTGGGTTATAGAGATGGAACTCGGGTCATCAGGCTTACGTAGTTGAGTGACAAACACTTTTTCTCACTAAGCTATTTTATCAGCCCCTTCCCTATTTTTTAATACTTGGGTTTTTCTTTTTTAACATTCTAGTGTTAGTATGCCTTCTAAGTTTCTTCAGTTTATCACAAAACTCCTTGTTTTTGAAAGGCCATGTGTTTATTGAAACTGAGTCACTTGTTTTCTCAAATTTTACAGTCTGGTCTTTTTCAAATTTAGAGGCTTGATTCAGGATCCTTTCCTCTCCCTCTCCTCCCTTTTCTCTGTCTCCTGGTGTCTCTGCCTCCAGCTCTCCTTCCTTCCCTCCCTTTAAAGTATTTCATAGGTAATGCTTGGTGCTTTTATTTGATATTGGTAGATGTCCAGATGTCTGGTATTCTCTTGTTCACTAATATTAAGAATTTTTTTAGTGACCAATCTGATTTTTTAAGGTTGAAACATTTGTTACAGTCCCTTACTCCCCACAGTCCCTTTTCCAAGCAGGCTGGCCTTGAACTCACAGAGATCTGCCTACCTCTGCCTCCTGAGTCTTTTATGTCTTTAAAAAGCAGAATTTTAAACAAATATACTTCTATGTAAATAGATTCTAATAAGGACTGTGTTTCTTTTTAGCATATAAACGACTAGATGGTTCTACTGAATGCTGTAACAATCACAGCCTCACAGATGTATGTTTTTCCTACAGAAATAACTTTAATAAGCGTTTGGTAAGTTGTTCTGAAGGCAGTTCTACTTGTCTGATATAATTACTAAAATAAATAGATAAAGCTAAAGCAAAAGTTATAAAGCTTTCTCTTTTTATTCTATTTACTTTGTGTCATTTAATTAAGACCTCTGTGTTTCAGATATCACATTTTATCTGAAAATCTAAAAATCTATATTGGTATGATATCCATATAGCTAAAATGGAATATTGAAATTTAATTTATAGTAGTTGTACAATGATAGCATTCCTTTTATATGAAAGCAATTTCTAACCTGCTGGGTGACAAGAAAAACATGAAGGAATGCAACCTAGATTTTTCTTGTTAATAAATAATTTCTAATATTGATTAATATTGTATTTTTAGCATACATGTCTACCTGCCCGGAAAGCAGTTGAAGCTACTCAAGTTTGTAGAAGCAATAAAGATTGCAAAACCAGTTCAAGTTCAAGCTTCTGTATAGTACCGTCTTTGGAAACTCACACTCGATTAATAAAAGTGAAACACCCACCTCAAATTGATATGCTGTATGTAGGACACCCACTGCATCTTCATTACACAGGTGGGTCTTATTGGAATAGACTCTTAAAATATCCTTAAGATCATATATATTCTTAGTTGCAAAAACTCGATACAAATCCTTGTGTTGATTCCATTTATTATAAATTTGATCACTTATCTATCAAAATTTTATTAACTTGTTCTTAAGCATTAAGTGGAGTTAAAATAGAAGAAAAAAAGAATTAACCTATAGAGAATGACACTCTTTGCTTCCTGATGATTTTTGCCCAAGTCAGATAGATAATCTCTGATGTTTTCTGAGTTCATAAAATGTATCCAAATTCTCCAAAATGGTGGCAAGAGCTGCATGCTCTTGAGATTACCAAAATACATAAAAGTGCATGACACATAAATGCTTTTGTCTTTTGAGGCAAGGTCTCATGTAGCCAAGACTGGCCTCAAACTCCCTATGGAACTGAGGACAAAGTTGACCTCCTGATCTTTGTGTTTTTCACTTTCTGAGTGCTGGGGTTATAGTGGGTATACCACCACATCCTGTTTTATGTGGCCCTGGGCATAAAACTCAGGACTTCATACATGCTAGGCAAGCACTCTACCACCTATGCTTTATCCCCCATCCAACATGAACATCCCTTGTAGAAGGAGCTGCAGGCAGGCCTGCTTTTCATCCTGCCTACCTCCTGCACAGCTAGATTAGCCCCGGAAATAACAAAACACAAACTGTATTCATTTAAACACTGCCTGGCCCATTATATCTAGCCTCTTCTTGGCTAACTCTCATATCTTGCTTAACCCATTTCTAATAATCTGTGTAGCACCATGAGGTGGTGTCTTACCAGGGAAAGATTCAGCATGTCTGACCTGGTGGCTGGCTCCATCGCATCTGACCTCACTTCCCTTCTTCCCAGCATTCTGTTCTGTCTACTCCACCCACCTATGTTCTGACCTATCAGGCCAAGCAGTTTATTTATTAATTAACCAATGAAAGCAACAGATAGACATATGACCTTTCCACATCAATCCCTTGCCCTTGACAACCACTAATATACTTTGTTTCTATAAATGTGCCTGTTCTATACATTTCATATAAATTGAATATTTTACAGCTGGCTTATTTCAGGTAGCATAGTGTTCTCAATGTTCATCCTTGATTGACCATATTTCCTTTATCTATTTATCAGTAGATGAATATTTGCATTTTATGCTATTCTTTAAAAGGTTTTTTTGTGTTCATTGTTTTTACTTTTAGTCAGAGACTTAATATGTAGCCTTGGCTGGCCTGCAACTTGCTACATACACCAGGCACACCTTAAACTCATAGAGATATGCCTGCCACTGTCTCCTAAATGCTGGGAGTAAAGGCAGGCACCATCTTGCACAATACTGCTTCATAGTTTTTGTTCTTTTTATTTTTCAAGAGAGGGTTTCTCTCTATAACCCTAGGTATCCTGGAACTCACTTTGTAGACCAGTCTGACCTCAGACTCAGAGATCTGCCTGCCTCTGCCTCCTGAGTGCTGGGACTGAAGGTGCGCGCCACCCCATGTAGCTTGCCTTAGAGTTGTATAGTAGGAGACAACCTGTATCGGTTTTCTTGTTTACTGGTTTGATGTTAAGTGACTTCAGGCAGCTATTCTCAATAAATGAAGAAATGGTTCTAGTTGGGGTTAATTTTGAAATGTGGACTGTGAGTTTTGCCTAATGTCGGGATACATTTTAGACCAAAACAGGGTTATGGAATCTACAACATACAGGAACTTTAAAGATCCCCTCATGTTAATCTTTATGTTAGCAATAAAAAAGCAATTATTTTAAATAGCATAATAGTTGGAACAAGTGTAATTTTTAGAATACTCCTCTTTGAAAGGATGAGAATGCTTTTGATATAACTTACATTTTCAAGTCACACTCTATATTTGGTAGTCATAATTGGTATGTGATCTGCTTTATCTTAGCTGTAACCTCAAAACATAAGTATACATTGGGACATGAGCTTTTTAATTCCACTATATTTAGTAGATGTTTATTAGCTGATTTCTCTTCCTCCTTCCCTCCTTCTTTTTTTCCTTTCTTTTTTTTTTATTTGTTTGTTTTGTTCTGAGACAGGATCTTACTGTATAGCCCTGCCTATCCTGGAACTTGCTTTATAGACCAGGCTGGACTCACAAAGATCCTCCTGCCTCTACTTCCCAAGTAATGGAATTAAATGTCTGGCCCTGATTCCTTATATATGAGGTATATAGCTTGCTTGCACATGTGTAGGAAAGTTTTGCTCATCCATGTTAATAGACTAGTGCAGGTTTTGACCATATGGTAAATTTATAGTGTTGTTGCTTATCTGATATGGATAATATTTATTATTCCTTTTTTCATTTTTAGTGAGCATCACAAGTTTTATCCCACGTTTCAACTTTCTAAGCATAGATCTGCCAGTGATTGTGGAGACATTTGTCAAGTATCCTTTCGGGTTTGAAAAGTACATTAAAAGTGTGTTATTTGTAGCTTCATCGTTTTTACCTTGAATAAAGCATTACAAATATAGGCCTTATTATTTAATTTCTTACAGCCAAAAAAACGAGAGAGACTTTAAAGATGAAAGATATTAGCCAGGCAGTGGTGGCACACTTCTTTAATCTCAGCACTCAAGAGGCAGAGGCAGGAGGATCTCTGTGAGTTTGAGGCCAGTCTGGTCTACAAGAGCAGGTTCCAGGATAGGCACCAAGGCTACACAGAGAAACCTTGTCTCGAAAAACAAACAAACAAACAAACCTGAAAGAGATTAGGTTTTACCGTTTAGCATGTGAGGGGAAAGTCAGTGGAGAAAACTCATCGGGTATGGAGAAAGGTTAATATACAGAGAGGAGGATTGTGGGAAGAACAGCAGGCAGGCATTTTAATAGCTTGAATCCCAGAAAGGCAGTGCCTGAAGCATACAGAGAGCGCAGATTCTCCTCAGAGGAGTTTTTTGTTGCCATTTCTGTTTTCCTCAGAGTTCCAAAGAACTTTCTCCACCAAGACGCCTCTGGTATGTCTGTGTACCATGTTCATGCAGTGTCCATGGAGGCCAGAGGAGGGCTTGAATATGGTTGTGAACTGCCTTGTGGGTACTGGGAATTGAACCCATGTCCTATGCAAGAGCAACTACTGCACTGCTGAGTCATGTCTCTAGCCCCACAAAAGCGTATATTTTTACAGAAAACATAATGGGAATGTGTAGAGATGCCTATAAGAAGGTGCAGAAAGGTGTAGCTTGAGGGTTAATTTACAAGAAGTTTGTAAAGGATGAGACTTCAGTTACTCGTGAGATGAGGTGATGAATTCTCCCCAACTTGAACTTTTTTTTTTTTTGAGACATGGTCTTACAGTGTAGCCCTGACCTGACTTGCTCTTTAGACCAACCTGGCCTCCACCTCACAAAGATCCACCTGCCTCAGCCTCTACCTCCTGAGTGCTGGGATTAAAGGCATATAGCAACATCATCCTGCCAGACTTGAGTTTATTAATAAATTCCAGATAGTGGTAGTACATGCCTTTAATCCATCAGCAGAGGCAGGTGGATCTCTGTGAATTTGTTGCCAGCCTGGTCTACAGAGCGAGTTCCAGGACACCCAGAGCTGTTACGTAGAGAAACCCTGTCTAGGAAAAAAAAAGTAGTTTTGAGGGCTGGAGAGATAGCTCAGCAGTTAAGAGCACTGATTGCTATCCCAGAAGACTCAGGTTCTATTTTGAGCACCCACATAGTAGTTCACAACGATAACTCCAATTCCAGGGGATCCACACACCTGTTCTGACCCCATGACCATCAGTATGCATGTGCACACATACATTTACACAAATACACATATATGCACATAAAATAAATTTTTTAAGTAATTTGGGGACTGGTGTGTTGGTGCATACTTGTAATCCTAACACTTAGGAAGCTGAGACAAGAATATGACCAGTCTGTGCAGCAAGACCCAGTCTCAAGATTAAAAAAAGTAAGAACATGGGGGCTGGCATTATAGTTCAGTAGTAGAACGTTGCCTAGTGTGCACTAAGCCCTAAGATTATTGGCTGTTTTTTCCTTTATTCCTTAGTGCTACATTTCTTTCCCTTTGTTGTAACTTTAAAGGATTATAAAAGTTTAATCTTTTTAGGAATCCATTTTAGATTTGTTAGTTTGCCTTTATTTTTCTATTCAAAGTTTTTGAACTTCAAAGTACTATTAACTTCTTTGTCTTAAAGGCCAGAGCTGTGGAAAAGAGTGTCACTCTTACAGTAGAGAAGTCTACTGTAATCTCATCTCCCTGTCCATTGTCTTCTGACTTCTCAAAAGTTTCCGTCTGGACTTGGCAGCTAGCTCCTTAACTCATCTTTACCCAGGTATCTGATTTCTCTTTCTGGAGCTCTGGCTATTGTTAATGCAGTGCCCTGCTTTGCCTTAGATGGTCAATGGATTTTAAACTCTTTTCTGGATGCTACCCTTACCTCAGTGATTGGAGACAATGACGTTAAGGATCTCATAGGATTTTTCATCTTGCTTGGTGGCAGTGTACTTTTAGCTGCCAACGTGACACTGGGACTCTGGATGGTTACAGCACGGTAATATTTGCTCTCTTCCAACGGAATGTCTGAAGTACAGCTAAGTGGGAATATCTGTTGCCATTGAAATTCTTACTGGATATGAAATGTAAAGTGTTTCCTCAAAACATCTTGACCAACACCTTTGAGCTCCAATATCTAGAGAATCCAAACTCTGTAGTAAAAAAGGAGTGGAAGAAATGAAAAAGCGTAATTCCTGGCTACATTCTAGTTTTAAAGATTGAATATGCAAATTTTGAATGTTTGTGGAACAATTTATAAACAAGTGAAAATTCATTCATGTGATACCATTTTGTGTGACTATATAGCATTTTGGAATAGTAAAAGGGAAAGCAGAATCTGGTAGTAAAATTGTATATGTGTGTGGTACCAGAGTTTGAAATAGGGCCTCACTTATGCTACTTATGCTAAGCAAGCTTTCTACCACTAAGCTATATATCCTGCCCCAGGAAAAATTTATTGAAAAGTGCCATTAAAATGATGTAGGGGTGCACACCTTTAATCGCAGCACTTGCCTTTATGTGTTTGGGAGGCTAGGCAAAAAGGATCATGAATTCAAGGTCATCCATCTTTAGCTACATAGTGGGTTCCAGGTCAGCATTGGCAATATAGCAAGACCCTTCCTCAAACACACACACACACACAAGTATCATTAAAGATTTAGGGATGGGCTCAGCGGTTAAGAGCATTGTCTGCTCTTCCAAAGGTCCTGAGTTCTATTCCCTGCAACCACATGGTGGCTCACAACCATCTGTAATGAGATCTGGTGCCCTCTTCTGGCCTTCAGGCATACACACAGAAAGAATATTGTATACATAATAAATAAATATTAAAAAGTATGAATTTTTAAAAAAAGATTTGGGGACACTAGATTTTGGTTAAATGGAAGACTAAGCAAGTGTTCTTGGTTTTATTGTGCTTGTCTTTATCTTGTTTGTAAAGTATTTTAAAGTTTAATGGTGTATTATTCTATACTCTGAATACCAAGGTCTGATTATAATTAAAGCAGTAAAATTCTATGAAAGTATCTGCTAACATGGAAGCAAAAACTCTGTACAAGTGATAGCAAGTAAATGGACAAAGTCGAAAGTAGCTAAGGCCTGTGATGAGATAAGATAGTTTTGTGGCACAAGTATTGCCTTTTTCATTTCTCCATGCTTGTTCTATAAAGTATGCTGCAGGAAGAATCTCCCACAGCAGCATTTGAGCTCAGGCAGTTAGACATGAATTTGAGATCTAAGCTGAGGCCTCTAACAGATCACAACAGAGCAGACATTTCAGCAAGTCTAGTATCCACTTTATAGAGTTTTGCAGCTTCGAACTCTTCTGGGGTAGGCCTTTTCCTTTATGCTGCAATAGCATTCACCCCTGAGCCGTACTCTGTCCTCACCAGCGTCTAGTATGTTTCTCTCTGTTGGGGGATTAAACACCCGATCTTTGTTTTCTGTCTTCCCCAAGCTACCTCTGTGAGTACACAAAGACTTTGTGGGATAGTGAGAATGACTGTACAAATACTGATTTTCCAGAGTCTAGTAACACACTCTTAAGCCCTGAAGAACCTCAGTCGGTCTTGTGGGTAGCAGTGGAACCCTGGGAAATTCAGAGTCAGCTGGCCAGTGTGAAACTGTTAGTCGTTGGGATATATGCACATATTTTTTTCTTTCATGAAAAATATATATTGGATGAAACACACACACATTAGAAGTAATGAAAGTCAATGCTCCATTCACTAATAGCCAGATATATACCTCCTTCCTGAAGTAAGGTACTTCATGTGGTTACCTTTTTCAGAACATTAGTTATCTTAAGCGCCTAAGACTTTTAAATTAATTTTTAGAAATCTTTTACATGTTATTACAAATTTGTCTTCCTTATTTAATATAAACCATACACTTGAATATCATTTTGAGATATTATTAATGTTAGGCTGTTCATTGCTAACAATACTAAAGGCATATGCATTTACTAATTTTTAGTTTTTATCCCAGAAAATATGGTATTTATTGTCGTCTAAGGTCACTCAGGACCAAAATATATTTGCATACTAAAAATGCACAGACCTTTTCAGGTAAAACAGACAATGTCATGAAATACTCATATAAGTAACGTGATCACATGTATTAAATAGTTTACTAATGAAATGTATGTGTTTATATCATTTTTTAATACTGAGGAGAACAATTACTGTTTACTGTGGTACTTATAGAACTGAGCTTAGCCTCACACATGCTAGCAAACCTTCTACAACTAAATAACCCTATAGGCCATGAAAATATTTTAATAAGAGGACATTCTATCCACTAACTTCATTTTCTAAGTGAAAGCAACAGCAACAACAAAACAAAACCTCATTTCATATTCTCTGCTGAACACCTCTGTCAGCTACCTGTAGGGTCAGGGTGTGGGACCTTCTCTCCTCCTGGAAGTCCAGCAGATTTGTATACAAATGGCTTCATTGATTAAGAAAGGAGATGTTACATATTGTCTCTTCAGCTTCACTGTGGACTGTTCTACTCTTAGGACTGTGTCATTCATACTCAGCTTTGTCTTCCTACAGTGCATGAGATATCAGAAGTGCTTAATTTGCTTGAATGGTGATTGGTGTATACTTATGGATAGAAAAGCATGCTTCTATTTAAGTAAGCTGTAAAAAAATTATTGAATATTTACTGTACATATATGTTAACATAACAAAATTTGAAGGTCTTTATGTCCCTGATGTGTTATCATTTTTCTGGGGAAAAATCCATTTTAGTTTCTTTAGAGCAATTAGAAAAATGAATTATATTGGAAAACGAATTATGTTGGTGATTTTGATGAAGTATCTTTGTGTTGTCACTTTGTTCAATGGTAAGACTTTATTCTCAGTCTTCCTATTCTGTATTGTTTACATTTTAAGGTTTTTATTTTAATCAGATGTAATTATAAAGAATGCATATATTATTTTCAGCATCTTAGTTTGAAGAGACATACAGCTAAACTTGACTTTTTGATAATCTATTCTTAGTCATTGTGTTAACAACAAATTGTAAACGTATGCTTCATAGTGATGTGACTCTGTCATCATTGTGTCCTTGGTATTTATTGAGCATCCACATACTGGTGGCACACAGATATTTTTCAATAACTTCTGAGTGAGCTGTAATTCATTTTTAGGCTTTAACTTGATGGTATAATAATTGTCAGAATTTGATGTTTAGCAATAAAAGAACACATGTAAACCAGCATTTTTCATTTATCATCTGGCTTGTATTTTTTTAATACTTGATCTTAGTCAAAAGGAGAAGAAGCAATTTACACTTTTTGGTGTACTTTTTTCTATAGAAATGTTCCCCCTTATGTAAAGTACGATCTTGGTTGTTATTAAATTCTTGATTCTAAAAGTGGCCTTCCATTTCAATTTATATAATTTGTATATGGCAGTTACTATAGTCCTCAGAAAGAAATCTTTTAAGTAAGGTGTCCATGTTTATAAGTTTGGAAGTGTTTGCTTTAAGGAAAAAAGACAGCAACATTTCATTACTGGTGTGTGTGTGTGTGTGTGTGTGTGTGTCTGTCTGGTGTGCACTAATATTATTATATTAATATAATTACAGTATATTATTGCAAAACTGTGCATGTGGAGGGAGGCTGCATGTGCATGTAGAGGAAGACATTGGATGTCCTTCTGTATGACTCTTCACCTTATCCCATGGAGACAAAGTGTCTAAAACTGGAGTTAGGCTTGCAGCCAGCAAGCCCCAGAGAATCTCCTGTCTGCACCCCCAAGGGCCCTTGAGTAACTGTAGTGCATGGCCACACCCAACTTTTAGCATGGGAGTCAGAGTCTGATCTCAGACAGATCCTTTTGCTTACAGAGAAAGTGCTCTAACCTACAGAGGGCTTACAGCTTTGCCTGGAATCCACAGAGATCTGCCTGCCTCAGCCTACCATGTGCTGGGATTAAAGGTATGTAGCCCCACATCCAGCAAGTCTACTTACTATCTTTTCTAGTTTCCCCACTTTCAGACCATACTTACAGCATTCCTTTCTTACATTTCAACTACTTCGTTTAATAAATGTAATGGGTTGTAATGTTTCTTTTTAGGTTTTACATATCAGCAGACAGCTACAATGCAGGTAACACTGCAATTTACAGAATGTGTACTTCTCCAGTACAGGCCACCCCCTTTCCATTATGGAAATACATAGCAAAAAGGTTAGTAATCAGAAGTGTGTCTGGAAACTAGAATTGAAGGAAAATTGAATAATGCAATTTAGGGTACAAATTACATTATTTTGAAATTGGGGAAATGTTTTTATACTGAAAATAGAAATACACACTCATAGGAAATGGGTTAATGAAATAATAATTTATTGAAAAAGGATATTCATAACTAGTAAGCTATGTTTTCAAGTTGACAGTATATTAAGTATTTTCCCATTTTATTAATATTCTAATGTTAGCTGGACGGTGGTGGCGCACGCCTTTTATCCCAGCACTCGGGAGGCAGAGGCAGGCGGATCTCTGTGAGTTCGAGAACAGCCTGGTCTACAAGAGCTAGTTCCATGACAGCCAGAGCTACACAGAGAAACCCTGTCTCGAAAAACAAATATATATTCTAATGTTATTTCAATAGCTGTATAATACTGCTGTGTTAAGTATGATAAAAACGATACCAGCTCTTTACAATTTTGTACTTTATAAGTATCTTAGATTGGGTTAATATTGCTATGGTGAAACACTATTACCAAAAGCAAGTTGGGGAAGAAAGGGTTTACTTGTCTTACACTTCATTATCACTGTTCGTCTTTGAAGGAAGTCAGGACAGGAACTCAAACAGGGCAGGAACCTGGAGGCAGAAGCTGATGCGGAGGCCATGGAGGGGTAATGCTTACTGGTTTGGTCATTGTGGTTTGCTCAGCCTGCTTTCTTGTAGATCCCAGGACCACTAGCCCAAGGGTGGCCCTGCCCATAGTGGGTTGGGCCCTCCTCCATCAATCATTAACTAAACGACTCCCTCACAAGTTTGCCTACAGCCCTATCTTATGGAGGCATTTTCTTAAAGGAGATTTCATCTTCTCAGATAACTCTACCCTTTGACATAAAGTTAGCCAGCACAATAAGTAAAGGCATGAGGAATATACTTGAAATAGTTGTTTATATCTATGATTATATAAAATTTAGAAACTCAGGAAAATTCTAGATGAAACAATTGGATGTCTTGAAATCTGAACAGTGTTTTATATATACACATTGTTTAGTTGAGTTTTTCAGTTAGGCAGATATGCAAAATAACATCTTTAATTTGCATTTTTGTTTAGAAAAAAAATCAACATTTAAAATCTGTTTATCTGTCAGTTTATTTTGTTTAAGCATATCCTTTTCTCGTTTTCAGTTTTGAAGTGTATGTGTGAAGTGGATACACATTCAGTTAAGTATTTGGGAGCTTAGTTGTGTGCAAGTGTACACATGTGCTCATGTGTGTGATAGCCTGGGACTAATGTCA